ATCGGAAAGGTGTTCTTCTCCACGACAATGCACGTTTGACGCAACACAAGATTATGGAGTTGGGTTGGGAAGTTCTCCCTACCCATCACATTCTCCAGATAAGCTACCATCTTTTTCGTTCGCTGCAACACCATCGGCATGTATTTTGCTTCAAAGCCAAGTTATTTCTTTAATCAGGGCATTAACAAGCTGATTGTAAGATGAAAAAGCATCATCGATAAGAATGGAGACTATTTCATTTAATAAATGTTTTCTTTTGATATACAAGTTGTTCGGGTTTTTTCATCTAAAAATAAGCGACATTAATTTCTTGACGACTTAATAGATACAGGAGTCGCAAACAATGAATAATGACAACTCTAGACAGTGAACTGACAAATGATACAAAGTATTGAAGAAAAGCGAATACCAGTAACTAGTACCTTGTATGAGAGTCCTTTACCTTCCTGGCCACGGTGGTTAGGGTGCTCGACTAGCAATCTGAGGGTCGCGAGTTTGAATCCCCGTACCACCAAACATGCTCGCCCTTTCAGCCGTGGGGGCATTATAATGTAACCGTCAATCCCACTATTCGTTGGTAAAAGGCTAGCCCAAAAGTTGTTGGTGATGGCTAGCTGCATTCCTTCACTGATAAATTAGGGACAGCTAGCGCAGATATTCCTCGTGTAGTTTTGCACAAAATACAAACCAACCTTTACCTTACACAGAGCAGAGCATTACATGTTTTGATGCTGTCATTTAGTTTTGCAATGTACGATTGTAGAATACTGTTCTAATTGTCCTGTATTACTCCCCGTAACACAGTAACCTTTTGACTTCCTCAGTCATTTTCATAAACCATTACAACCTCAAGAATGTTCCTATTTGGACCGTGTGCTGACCAAGCCATGGTTGCCTCAAGGTGAGCAACTGTTCACAATATTTCGTCAGCAGGTCGTGCGCATGGAAAACGTTTTAAGACCTAAAATATTTTGACCATTTCTACTGAAAGTTATATATGTATCATTTATGTAAACTTTGGAGAAAAAATTGTTTCTGAACCTTAAACTTAAGAAATCTAAAGCATACGCGTGCGTTTAAAAAACTTTTAAACTCTGACTTGTCAGTGTTCTATCGGCTTCTTTACCACCAATATACCATTTCACCACATTTGCTGTAAGCTTGTTGATAATTTTCTTGCTGGAAGAAGTCCTCACTAGATAGTGTTTCTGAGGGAATGCCATAATGGATAAGATCTGTCTGTACTTGTCAATAATTCCACTATTAACTGAAATGTATTTACAAATTTGTAATACCCCTGATCTTAATCTGAGAGACTGTCATTGAATGTTGGAGAAAAAAATCTGTAGAGAGTACATATCTCCAGATTTACCTATTCAAGTTTGTGATCAGATTTTAACCTTTCAGTTTGGTTACCTTTCCTCGGCAGCAGTTTTTAAGCAGCCACTTCATATTAATGTTTTCAATGTAATTCAACTGTCACCTACTTCATAAAGAATGTGACCCGATATACTTTACATAACGTTTAGAAGATTTCAGTCTTCTATCTTGACCACCTCTATTATTAAGAGTGGCAATTTCATCCAACCTCTTTAAGTCCTAATACATATACCGAAACATGGATTATCCTTGAGACCTTTATCATTCAAAACTTAGATGTCTACACACTTGTCATGTAGTTTCAGTCCTGAGAGCCATAATTAGAAACACACTACTACTACTACTACTAGGCATAGTATGACTGCATGTGCTTTCATAGGCATTATATGGCACTTTCTGTTGGTTGAAGGGCAACCATCATTGTAAACTATTAGCACTGTACTCCGATGGAACATTTGCCTTTTATAACCCTTTTGTCACACTGTTTATATAATTACTGCCAATACTTTTTTGGGTGTGTATGTATACATTATGAATGCCAGTAATTACTATAGTTTCTCACTGTAAGCCATCTATAAATAAACTGTAAATGGCTTTAAAAAAATATCATTTTGATGCTATCATTGTTGTACAATTTCATTTCTTTAAAATCTAAGGCATCTGTTCTTATAAACTGATAAATTAATAAATTTTTTATCCCTAATTTACAAATTCTTTTAATATATGAAGAAATAATATTTACAATTTTTCTAATGTTATATATTTTTTTAAACTACAATATTAAGAATACTATGCTGTACTCATGCTAAAATAAGAATGGACTAAATGATTTTATTGAAGAACTTGTTCACCACTACAGTTTAAGAGCTTCGAAGTGTCAGCAGTGTTTATTCACTTGTGCATGTTTTGTTTGTTGTTAATCACAAAGATGGGCTATCTGTGCTGTTCTGCAAGATGTGAGAAAAATAAACTGACATATCTAAATGAGAACATTTTATAGAATTTCAGGCAGATGCCCTTCATCAGGCAGTAAAGAACATGCTACAATGAAATGCAGTCTTTACTGCCCAATGGAGGACATTTGTCTGACACTCCACACAAAATAAAACTTGAAAAAGTTTTCACTTAGACATGTCAATTTATTATTTATTATCTGTGCTGTGCCCACCACAGGTATCAAACCAAGTTCTTATTGCTGAGCCACTGAAGGGCCATATGTGAGTAATTATTATGTAAAGTAATATCACGGTTAATGTTCAATAGACGCACAAAATTGTTGTCATGAATATTTCTACTGTGTCAAAACACTATATACTTACCAATAACTTCTCACCATAAGTAAAGAAATTATGTGCATTATATTCAAAACTGTTTTGGATCCTATCCATGTCTTTACTGTCAATGTTGCAGCATCAGGTTAAGCTCTATCTGATGACCTCGTATCTCGACAATAGCCCTACAGCACAGATTGTTTTAAAATGCTCTACTGTAGTTATAATGTCTTAAGCACACCATTGCTCCCTTCTGACTTTCCATAATCCAGCTAGTGTAGAAGGACAAATTTCTCAAGCACTCATTTCAATAGTCCAATCACACAGAAGTCCTAATTTTTGCAACCAGGTGCTTGACCAGTAACTCTGCATGTGGAATAGCATAAATGATCATTTCATTCTCCAGTTGCTTGATGTAGGTGACAATTAACAGACACTTCACAAAAACAACTTGTACACTTGTGTCACTTTTTTAGATGAAGATCCTTCTTCATTATGATGTCACTGACTTTTGTGTTCTTGAATTCTTACCTGTTGCAAGATACCACACTACATTTACAACAGCTGGTTTGTTTGTTTGTTTTTGAATTTCACGTCAAAGCTACACGAGGGCTATCTGCGCTAGCTGTCCCTAATTTTGCAGTGTAAGACTAGAGGGAAGGCAGCTAGTCATCACCAC